TTTTATCCCTCACCGCGAGGAGACCGATTCCGGTCAGACCTGAGGGAGGGTGAGACGAATACCGCTGGTGATACCTCACCCTCCCTCTATATGGTCTAGGAAGGCTATCGGCAGGGGTTTTAGTGGGTATGCCTGAGACATCTTCTCAGGAGACTCCCACATAACCCACGGGATCCCCCCCGGGACCCGGTATCCATAAAGGATTTCCCCTGCCTCACCAAAAAAAAAGGTCCGCTGCTGCGTGTTTCTGCGTTTCTTAGACTCTGTGGCTGAAACCAAGCGGAGTTAGATAGGGCTTGGATGGCGGAGGCGACGGGATCGCGGTACCTGACCTTATGCTGTGGGGTCACTGACGCGTGACACCCGTCGATGATCCCCCGGCGTCCGGTCTTCCTGGCAATGCTGCATCTTCGCCCTGAGGCACAACACACGCAACGCCGCCCGCACGGGGTCTCGCCTTACAATTTAAAAAACGATATTAACGACATAAAACAGGAATGACAATACGAACAACGCGTAAAGATTGTGGAGTCTCGCGGGTTGCTCTCTCCACGCGAGGAGCAACACCAGGACTCTTTGCTCCCTCGGCCGGGCTATCGCCCTTGTGACGGCGCTCGAAAAGCGTCACGTCACAACTCCCCCTTCCCAGAGGAGGACCGCGGGATTTCGGTCCCGACGAACGCCGGTGACCGCCCCTCCGGTAGCCTTACCTGGGTGTTCTCACCCCAAAACCGCAAAAACTCGACAGCTTCCCCAGTCGCTTCGTTTTTCCTCCCCCCTGCCCCGTTCGGATTTCGCGTGCGACCATCCCGAAAGTCTCTACGAAATTCCCGTCCACGCGAGGATCGCGGGGTGTTTCTCAGTTAACGGGAGGTTCACGCCTTACTACCAGGGGAGGGTGAGGAAGTAGACATGAGTTGGTTTGACGGGCTTTATTTGTGCGCTGTCAGTGCAGCGACTTGTCGGTAACAACAAAAGAGAAAATAATTAAGAGGACAGACAAAAAAAATATCTATAAGAAACTATAACTATAAAAAAAAACTATACTAAACTTAGCCTAAACGAGAAGTACAAAAAAGAAAAGTAAAAAGAAAAAAACAACAAAAAAACAAAAAAGTAAGAAGGAAAAAGAAAAGAGAAGAAAAATCGTATAACTTCGTATAATGTATGCT